TGAGTGAGCCCCCCCCCCAAAACCCACCTGAGACCCCCTGAAACCCCCCTGGGACCCCCAAACTGCTCTGAGACCCCCAAACCCACCTGAGACACCCAAATCCTCCTGAGCCCCCCAAATCCCCCATGGCCGTGGCCAAGCAGGTGCTCAGCAGCCCCCCCAAGCACACCCAGGTGGGACCCCTGAACACACCTGGAGCCCCCCAAGCCCCCCAGTGCTCCCAGTGTCCCGGGGGCTGCGGGGGTCCCTGCCAGTGCTCCCGGGGGCTGCGGGGGTCCCTGCCAGTGTCCCGCTGTCCCCTGTACAGGGCCCCTGTACTGGGAACCAGCAGAGCCTGGCCCACAGCCGCCTCTGGGACGCCGTCGTCGGCTTCCTGCACGTCTTCGCTCACATGATGAAGAAGCTGGCCCAGGTGGGCACTGGGAGCACTGGGAGGGCACTGGGAGCACTGGGAGCACTGGGAGGGCACTGGGAGGGCACTGGGAGGCACTGGGAGTTACTGGGAGGGCACTGGAAGGGCACTGGGAGCACTGGGAGGGCACTGGGAGGCACTGGGAGTTACTGGGAGGGCACTGGGAGCACTGGGAGGGCACTGGGGTGGCACTGGGAGTTACTGGGAGGGCACTGGGAGTTACTGGGAGGTAACTGGGAGCACTGGGGGCACTGGGAGTTACTGGGAGGACTGGGAGTTACTGGGAGTTACTGGGAGAACTGGGAGCACTGGGAGTTACTGGGAGTTACTGGGAGTTACTGGGAGAGCTCGGGGGGCTCTGTGTGGGAGGAGGGGGCTCGGAGCTCCCTGGGGCAGGAGGGGCCGGGAAGAGGGGGGTGACTCGGGGAGGGGGGGACATGAGGGGACCCCGGTGACACCCCGGTGACAGCAAGGTGACAGCGAGGTGACCCCGGGCTGTCCCTGTCCCCCCAGACTTCCAGAACTACCTGCGGACGCAGACGGGGAACACGACCACCATCAACATCATCATCTGCACCGTGGACTACCTGCTGCGCCTGCAGGTGACACACACAGCTGGCCCGCTGTCCCCGGCGTCCCCAGGGGCCCCCGGTGTCCCCGTGCCACCGTCCCCAATGTCCCCAATGTCCCCGATGTCCCCAGGAGTCCATCAGTGACTTCTACTGGTACTACTCGGGCAAGGACGTCATCGACGAGCAGGGCAAGAGGAACTTCTCCAAGGCCATGGCCGTGGCCAAGCAGGTGTTCAACAGCCTCACCGAGTACATCCAGGTGAGACCCCTGGGACCCCAAACCCACCTGGGACCCCCCCCCAAACCCACCTGAGACCCCCAAACCTCCCTGAGCACCCCAAATCCCCCATGGCCGTGGCCAAGCAGCTGTTCAACAGCCTCACCGAGTACATCCAGGTGAGTGAGACCCCCCCCAAAATCCCCTGAGACCCCAAAACTCACCTGAGACCCCCAAACCACTCTGAGCCCCCCAAACCTCCCTGAGCACCCCAAATCCCCCATGGCCGTGGCCAAGCAGGTGTTCAACAGCCTCACCGAGTACATCCAGGTGAGTGAGACCCCCCCCCAAAACCCACCTGAGACCCCCTGAAACCCCCCTGGGACCCCCAAACTGCTCTGAGACCCCCAAACCCACCTGAGACACCCAAATCCTCCTGAGCCCCCCAAATCCCCCATGGCCGTGGCCAAGCAGGTGTTCAACAGCCCCCCCAGGCACATCCAGGTGAGACCCCTGAACTCACCTGGAGCCCCCCAAGCCCCCCAGTGCTCCCGGGGGCTGCGGGGGTCCCTCCCAGTGGCCCGGGGGCTGTGGGGGTCCCTGCCAGTGTCCCGGGGGCTGCGGGGGTCCCTGCCAGTGTCCCGGGGGCTGCGGGGGTCCCTCCCAGTGGCCCGGGGGCTGCGGGGGTCCCTGCCAGTGTCCCGCTGTCCCCAGGGCCCCTGTACTGGGAACCAGCAGAGCCTGGCCCACAGCCGCCTCTGGGACGCCGTCGTCGGCTTCCTGCACGTCTTCGCTCACATGATGAAGAAGCTGGCCCAGGTGGGCACTGGGAGCACTGGGAGGGCACTGGGAGGGCACTGGGAGTTACTGGGAGGTAACTGGGAGTTACTGGGAGGGCACTGGGAGTTACTGGGAGGTAACTGGGAGTTACTGGGAGGTAACTGGGAGCTCTGGCGCGCAGGACTCGTCCCAGCTGGGGCTGCTGAAGGAGCTGCTGGACCTGCAGAAGGACATGGTGGTGATGCTGCTGTCCCTGCTCGAAGGTGCCTGGGGGGAGCCACCTGGGGTGTCCTGTGACACCTGGCGTGTCCCCAGGTTCCCCAGGTGTCCCCTGACCACCCAAAGTGTCCCCAGGTTCCCCAGGGTGTCCCCTGACCACCCAAAGTGTCCCCAGGTTCCCCAGGTGTCCCCTGACCACCCAGTGAACCCTGACCATCCAAGGATGTCCCCTGATCCCAGGATGTCCCTTGACATCCAAGGTGTCCCTTGAACTCAAGTTGTCCCCTGACCACCCAAAGTGTCCCCTGACCATCCAAGGATGTCCCCTGACCATCCAAGGTCTCCCCTGATCCCAAGGATGTCCCCTGACCACTCAAAGGTGTCCCCTGACCACTCAAGGTGTCCCTTGACATCCAAGGTGTCCCCTGATCATCCAAGGATGTCCCCTGATCTCAGGATGTCCCCTGACCACCCAAGGTGTCCCTTGACACCCAAGGTGTCCTCTGACCACCCAAAGTGTCCCCACGCCCCCAGCCCATCTCTGGGGCCACCGGCGGGGCGGTGACGCCGCCGTGTCCCCGCAGGGAACGTGGTGAACGGCACCATCGCCCGGCAGATGGTGGACATGCTGGTGGAGTCCTCCAGCAACGTCACCATGATCCTCAAGTTCTTCGACATGTTCCTGAAGCTGCGCGACATCGTCTCGTCCGACGCCTTCCGCCACTTCGTCACCGACCCGCGCGGGCTCATCTCCAAGAAGGACTTCCAGAAAGCCATGGACAGCCAGAAGCAGTACGAGCCCGACGAGATCCAGTTCCTGCTCTCCTGCTCCGAGGCCGACGAGAACGAGATGATCGACGTGGAGAGCTTCGCCCAGCGCTTCCAGGAGCCGGCGCGCGACATCGGCTTCAACGTGGCCGTGCTGCTGACCAACCTGTCGGAGCACGTGCCGCACGACCAGCGCCTCAAGACCTTCCTGGAGCAGGCCGAGAGCATCCTGGACTATTTCCGGCCCTTCCTGGGCCGCATCGAGATCATGGGGGCGGCGCGGCGCATCGAGCGCATCTACTTCGAGATCAGCGGCGCCAACAAGGCGCAGTGGGAGATGCCGCAGGTCAAGGAGTCCAAGCGCCAGTTCATCTTCGACGTGGTCAACGAGGGCGGCGAGGCCGAGAAGATGGAGCTCTTCGTCAACTTCTGCGAGGACACCATCTTCGAGATGCAGATCGCCTCGCGCATCTCCGAGGAGGAGGCGCCGCGCGACGAGGAGGAGGAGGAGGACGAGGACAGGGAGGAAGAGGAGCCGGCCGAGGCGCCGGCGCCGGCGCTGCCAGGCCTCGGGGCGCTGCGGCGGCTGCTGGGGTCCCCCCAGACGTGGCGCCGCAGGATCAGGCGGCTGCGCATGGGGGGTTTTTGAGTGGGGGAGGACCCCGGGGGTCGCAGTGGGACATGGGGAGATTTTTGGGGTCTCTATGGCAGTTCCTGCTGGGGAGGTTTTGGGAAACCCAGGGGGGATATTCCGGGGGTCCCCGTGGGGGGTGGGACACAGTGGAGGGTCCCCAAAGCCCCAATTCCACCCCGCCATGGCCCTGCCCGGCTTCAGGGGACTTTGGGGGGTCCCGGGGTGAGAATTTACCCCTCAACGCCCCCCCCGGACCCCCTTGTCCCCCCCAGGAGATGGCAGAGCAGGCGGGGGAGGCTCCGAAGGAAGAGGAGCCCCCGGCCGAGACCGAGAAAGCCGAGTAAGGAGGGCGAGGAGAGAATTTGGGGAGGGGTCCCTGCCCCGCGGGGAGGCTCCGGGCGGGTCCCTGAGCCCCCCGGCCGCTCTGTCCCCCAGCACAGAGAACGGGGAGAAGGGCGGGGGTCCCGAGGAGGGGCCGGAGCCCCGCGCCCCCCCGAGGCGGCGCAAGTCGGTGCCCCGGGAGCGCCGCGAGCCCCCGGCCGAGGGTGGCTTCGACTTCTGGGGAGAGCTGGAGGTGCAGAGGGTCAAGTTCCTGGTAAGGAGGGGGGGGGCCGGGGGTCTCTTTGGGGTGCCCCGAGGGGATTTTGGGGAGCCCCTGGATTGGTTGGTTCCCCTCCCCCAGAATTACCTGTCGAGGAATTTCTACAACCTGCGGTTCCTGGCGCTGTTCCTGGCCTTCGCCATCAACTTCATCCTCCTCTTCTACAAGGTTGGGGGGGATTTGAGGGGGTTTAGGGGGGCTTTAGGGAGTTTTGGAAGGGATTTAGGGGGTCCTGGGGGGTTTTGGAAGGGATTTTGGGGACAGAGAGTTTGGGGACACCCTGGCACCCCATTTTGGGTGGTCCCCAGACCTTTTTATCCCCACCGAGGGGTCTGGAGCCCCCCTGTCCCCACAGAGGGGGGGGTTGGGGACACTTTGGGTACCCTCAGACCCCAGTACCCCATTGTGGTAGCTCCCCAGACCCTTCTGTCCCCCCAGAGGGGGGGTTTGGGGACACTTTGGGTACCCTCAGACCCCAGTACCCCATTGTGGTAGCTCCCCAGACCCTTCTGTCCCCCCAGAGGGGGGGTTTGGGGACACTTTGGGTACCCTCAGACCCCAGTACCCCATTGTGGTAGCTCCCCAGACCCTTCTGTCCCCCCAGAGGGGGGGTTTGGGGACACTTTGGGTACCCTCAGACCCCAGTACCCCATTGTGGTAGCTCCCCAGACCCTTCTGTCCCCCCAGAGGGGGTTTGGGGGCACTTTGGGTACTCCCAGACCCCCCTGTCCCCCCGCGGGCTCTGGACCCCCGGTCCCTCACGGCGCTGTCCCCGCAGGTGTCCGAGCACCCCCCGGGCGCCGCCGAGGAGCCCGAGGGCTCGGGCGCGGCCCCCGAGGAGGACGGGGCGGTGCCGGGGGGCGCGGAGGCGGCGGGGGTCCCCGAGGAGCCCGAGGTTTATTATTTCCTGGAGGAGAGCACGGGCTACATGGGCCCGGCGCTGCGCGGGCTGGCGCTGGCGCACACGCTGGTGGCCTTCCTGTGCATCATCGGCTACAACTGCCTCAAGGTGACAGCGCCTGAGCCCCCCGTGTGCCACCAGAGCCCCCCGTGTGTGCCACCAGAGTCTCCTTGTGTGTCCCCACTGCCCCCTGTGTGTCCCCTGAGCCCCCCCGTGTGTCACCAAACACCCCTGTGTGTCACCAAATACTCCCCCTGTGTGTCCCCAGAGCCCCCCCGTGTGTCCCCTGAGCCTCCTGTGTGTCCCCAGAGTCCCCCGTGGCACCGAACACACCCCTGTGTGTGTGTCCCCAAAGTCCTGTGTGTGTCCCCAAATCTGCGTGTGTTCCCAAATCCCTGTGTGTGTCTGCAAACCCTGTGTGCGTGTCCCCAAAGCCCTGTGTGTGTGTCCCCAAACCTTTGCGTGTCCCCAGATCCCTGTGTGACCCCAAATCTGTGTGTCCCCAAATCCCAGTGTTTCCTCAAATACCTGTGTGTGTCCCCAGGCCCTGTGTGACCCCCATGACCCCAGTGTCCCCCATGACCCCTCGGTGTCCCCAATGTCCCCAGATCCCCCTGGTGATCTTTAAGAGGGAGAAGGAGGTGGCGCGGCGCCTCGAGTTCTCAGGGCTCTGCTGTGACCACTGGGGGCACTGGGGGCACTGGGGGGGACTGGGAGGGCAATGGGAGCCACTGAGAGGGCACTGGGAGAAACTGGGAGGGGCATTGGAAGGCACTGGAGGGCACTGGGAGAGACTGGGAGTGCACTGGGAGGCATTGGGGGGGCATTGGAAGGCACTGGCGGGCACTGGCAGGCACTGGGAGGGCATTGGAAGGCACTGGAGGGCACTGGGAACCAGTGGGAGGGCACTGGAGAGCACTGGGAGGGCACTGGGAGCCAGTGGGAGGGCACTGGGGGGCACTGGGAGAGACTGGGAGGGCACTGGAGGGGACTGGAAGGCACTGGCAGGTACTGGGAGGGCACTGGGAGGTACTGGGGGGTACTGGAGAGCACTGGGAGGGCACTGGGTGGGTTCCAGGGGGTCCGGAGGGGCTGGAAGGGAGGTCTGAGGGTTTTGGGGGGTCTCACAGAGGTTTAGGGGGGTGCTGGGGGTCCCTGGGGGGTCCAGTGGGACCAATTGGGGTCCCCTGGGGTCCCCCTGCCCCAGCTGGGCTGTGGGAAGGGGGCGTCACCCCCACTGACCCCCCCTTTTTTTCTGCCCTGACCCCCCCAGATCCTTCCCCAGCAATTACTGGGACAAGTTCATCAAGAGGAAGGTGAGGAGGGGTCCTGGGGCTGCCACCCCCTGCCCACATTTCAGAGGCATCCCCCGACACTTTGAGCACTTTTCCCTCCATTTTGGGGACCCGAATGTGAATTTTGGGGTCCCCCCAGTGAATTTTGGGGTCTCCAGGTGATGGAGAAGTACGGGGATATCTACGGGCGGGAGAGGATCGCCGAGCTGCTGGGGATGGACCTGGCCAGCCTGGAAATGGGGGCGCAGGGCGAGCGCAGGGCCCCCCCCGACAGCTCCCTGCTCACCTGGTGGGCACCCGGGGCACTTTGGGGGGGCAATCTGGGGAGTTTGGGGGTCCTATAGGGGTCTAAGGGGAGGGTTAGGGGTCCTGGCTGGGTCCCAGGGGGAGTTTTGGGATCCTGTGGGGGGCTAAGGGGAGGGTTAGGGGTCCTGGGTGGGTCCCAGGGGGGGATTTGGGGCAGTTTTGGGGTCCTACAGGAGTCTAAGGGGGGGTTTTAGGGGTCCTGGGTGGTCCTAGGGGGTAGTCAGACACCTCATGGGTCTGGGGGCTCCCCTGGGTGGGTCCTAGGGAGGGATTTGGGGGAGTTTTGGGGTCTAATGGTGGCATTTTAGGGGTCCTGGGTGGCCCTAGGGGGTAGACACCCACCCCATGGGTCTGGGGGCTCCCCTGGTCGTCAAGGGACAGTGGGACCGGCTGGTGCTCAACGCCCAGTACGGGGCACTGGGACAAACTGGGGGGGACTGGGGGGACTGGGAGGGCACCAGAGGGGACTGGGAACCACTGTAAGGGCATTGGGAAGCACTGGGAAAAACTGGGAGGGCACTTGGAGGTACTGGGAGGGCACTGGGGGGGACTGGGAGGCACGGGGAAGCACTGGGGGCACTGGGAGGGCACTGGGGGGCACTGGGAGAAACTGGGAGAGCATTGGAAAGCACTGGAGAGCACTGGGAGGCACTGAGGGGGGCACTGGGAAGTACTGGGAGGGCACTGAGGGGGACTGGAAGGCACTGGGAGGACACTGAGGAGCATTGGGAGAGGGGGGGCTCGGCGGGGGTCTCCCGAGCCCCCCTGACCCCTCTGTGCCCAGCTGGTGATGACGGTGGGGCTGCTGGCCGTGGTGGTCTACCTGTACACCGTGGTGGCCTTCAACTTCTTCCGCAAGTTCTACAACAAGAGCGAGGATGAGGATGAGCCCGACATGAAGTGTGACGACATGATGACGGTGAGAGGGGGTCCCGGGGGGGTCTCCAGGTGGATTTTTGGGGTTCTCCGGGGGTCCCTGACCTCCCCCTGTGCCCCCTGCAGTGCTACCTGTTCCACATGTACGTGGGGGTCCGGGCCGGGGGCGGCATCGGGGACGAGATCGAGGACCCTGCGGGGGACGACTACGAGCTCTACCGGGTGGTCTTCGACATCACCTTCTTCTTCTTCGTCATCGTCATCCTCCTGGCCATCATCCAGGGTGGGCAGGCCTGGCAGGGCGTGGGGAGGGGGCTTTGGGGGTTCTGGAAGGGCCTGGGGGGGATCTGGGGGGGGGTCTGTACCTCCATGTTGTGTCCCACCCCTCTGACCCCTCCATTTTGTGCCCCCCAGGTCTGATCATCGACGCCTTCGGGGAGCTGCGGGACCAGCAGGAGCAGGTCAAGGAGGACATGGAGGTGAGTCTGGGGGCAGAGGAAGGTGAGGACCCCCCCCTAGGTGGGGCTGGGGGGTGCAGAGACCCCTCTCTGACCCCCCCGGGCCCCCTACCCAGACGAAATGCTTCATCTGCGGCATCGGGAGCGATTATTTCGACACGACGCCCCACGGCTTCGAGACCCACACGCTGGAGGAGCACAACCTGGCCAACTACATGTGAGCCTGGGGGGGGTCTCGGGGGGCTTTTGGGGGGTCCTGCAGGGGGCTGGGGGTCCCTGCTGACCTCTGACACCCCCGGATTCCACCCCCCACCCCAGGTTTTTCCTGATGTATTTGATCAACAAGGACGAGACGGAGCACACGGGGCAGGTGGGGACAGTAAGGGGGAAAAGGGCAGGAATCCTGAGGGGGAAAGAGGGAAATAGGAGGGGGAAAAGGGCGTGAATCATGAGAGGAAAAGAGAGAGGAAAAGGAGGGGAAATGTGAGGGGTAAAGGGGAAAACGTGAGGGGGAAAAGGGGAAAATGTGAGGGGAGAAGGGTGAGAAACGTGAGGGGGAAAAGGGCGCAAAACGTGAGGGGGAAAAGGGCAGGAATGCTGAGGGGAAAAGAGGGAAATATGAAGGGGAAAAGGCTGTGAATCGTGAGGGGAAAAGAGAGAGGAAAAGGGGGGGAAATGTGAGGGGCAAAGGGGAAAATGTGAGGGGAGAAGGGCAAGAAACGTGAGGGGGAAAAGGGTGGGAAACGTGAGGAGAAAAGAGAACTGCGAGGGGAAAAGGCCATGAATCGTGAGGGGAAAAGAGAGAGGAAAAGGGGGGGGCAAATGTGAGGGGCAAAAGGGAAAACGTGAGGGGAAAAAAGGGCCGAAGTCATGAGGGAAGAAAAGGGCAGGAATTGTGAGGGGAAAAGGGTGGGAAATCATGAGGGGAAAAGGGGGGGAATGTGAGGGGAAAAGGGTGGGAATCATGAGGGGAAAAAGGGCGGGAAACATGAGGAGAAAAGAAAACTGTGAGGGGAAAAGGCTGTGAATCGTGAGGGGGGAAAGGGCAGAAATCATGAGGGGAAAAGGGAGGAAAATGTGAAGGGAAAACAAGGGGGAATGTGAGAGAAAAAGGGCTGGGAAATGTGAGGGGAAAATGGGTGGGAATTGTGAGGGGAAAAAGGGTGGAAATCATGAGGGGAAATGTGAGGGGAAAACAGGGAAATATGAGGGGAAAAAGGGCGGAAACCATGAGGAAAAAATGGGGGGGGGGGAAATGTGAGGGGAAAACAGGGAAATATGAGGGGAAAAAGGGCGGAAACCATGAAGGGAAAAGGGGGAGAACTGTGAGAGGAAAACAGGGAAATGTGAGGGGGAAAAGGGCGTGAATCATGAGAGGAAAAGAGAGGGAAACATGAAAGGAAAAAAGAGGGAAACGTGAAGGGAAAAGGGGGGGAAACCTGAGGGGGAAAGTGCGGCAAACCTGAGGAGAAAAAGGTGAAAAATACGAGGGGAAAACAGTAGTAAACATGAGAGGAAAAGAGTGAAAAGGGGGGAAAAAGGTGAAAAATGTGACATTCCAGGAGCTCCCTGGGAGCCCCCTGGGACCCCTCAAAACCGCCGAGGATCCCCGGGTCGTCACCGACCCCTCCACTGCCTCCCAGTTCAGCCCAGTTCGGTCTGAAGCCGAGCCAACTGCAGTCCCAGTAGGACCCAGTACGGCTCCAGTATAACCCCAGCACGGTCTCACTGTGCTTCCTGAACAAGCCCAGTACGATCCCCTATAATCCCAGTTTGTCCCAGTCCTTCCCAGGACTATCGCTCCATTCCCGCCCCAGTTCGCCCAGTCCGGGACGCGGCCCGTACTGGGAAGGGGCGTGGTTAACGCGGAGGGCGTGACCAGGAGACATTACGTCATTCACACTGTGGGCGTGGCCAGGGAGCGTAGTGAAGCGGAAGCGGCTGTGACGTCCCTTCCGGAATAGCCGCGAACATGGCGCTGTTCGAGCAGATGCGGGCGAACGTGGGGAAGCTGCTGCGGGGCATCGACCGGTACTGGGAGCACTGGGAGGGACTGGGGGCACTGGGAGAGCACTGGGAGGGGACTGGGAGAGGATCTGGGGGCCCTGAGGCGGTCCCAGGTGTGCAACGAGGGGTCTGAGGTGTGTCACAGGGGGTCCCAGGTGTGTAAGGAGGATCTCAGGTGTGTAAAGGGGGTCTCAGATGTGTCACAGGGGGTCCCAGGTGTGTAAAGGGGGTCCCAGGTGTGTAAGGAGGGGTCTCAGGTGTGTAAAGAGGGCTCCCAGGTGTGTCTCAGGGGGTCCCAGGTGTGTCCAGGTGTGCCCCAGGTGTGTCACAGCCCCCCTCACCTGCACAGGTACAACCCCGAGAACCTGGCCACGCTGGAGCTGTGCCCTGGGGGGGCTGGGCTGTGTCTGGGTGTGTCTCAGGGGGTCTCAGCTGTGTCTCAGGGGGTCCCAGGGGGTCCCAGGTGTGTAAGGAGGGGTCTCAGGTGTGTCACAAGGGGTCCCAGGTGTGCCCAGGTGTGTCACAGCCCCCCTCACACAGGTACAACCCCGAGAACCTGGCCACGCTGGAGCTGTGCCCTGGGGGGGCTGGGCTGTGTCTCAGGGGGTCCCAGGGGGTCTCAGGTGTGTCTGGGTGTGTCCCAGGTGTGTCACACCCCCCCTCACCTGCACAGGTACAACCCCGAGAACCTGGCCACGCTGGAGCTGTGCCCTGGGGGGGCTGGGCTGTGTCTGGGTGTGTCTCAGCTGTGTCCCAGGGGGTCCCAGGTGTGTCCCAGGGGGTCTCGGGGGGTCCCAGGTGTGTCACAGTCTCACCTGCACAGGTACAACCCCGAGAACCTGGCCACGCTGGAGCTGTGCCCTGGGGGGGCTGGGCTGTGTCTGGGTGTGTCTCAGCTGTGTCCCAGGGGGTCCCAGGTGTGTCCCAGGGGGTCTCGGGGGGTCCCAGGTGTGTCACAGTCTCACCTGCACAGGTACAACCCCGAGAACCTGGCCACGCTGGAGCTGTGCCCTGGGGGGGCTGGGCTGTGTCTGGGTGTGTCTCAGCTGTGTCCCAGGGGGTCCCAGGTGTGTCCCAGGGGGTCTCGGGGGGTCCCAGGTGTGTCACAGTCTCACCTGCACAGGTACAACCCCGAGAACCTGGCCACGCTGGAGCGCTACGTGGAGACGCAGGCCAAGGAGAACGCCTACGACCTGGAGGCCAACCTGGCCGTGCTGAAGCTGTGAGGGCTGGGGGGGATTTTGGGGGGGCTCAGGGGGGGTTCGGGGGTTCCCGAGCCCCCCCCAGGCTCACCTGGGCTCACCTGTGCAGGTACCAGTTCAACCCCGCCTTCTTCCAGACCGGGGTGACGGCGCAGATCCTGCTCAAGGCGCTCACCAACCTGCCCCACACCGACTTCACGCTCTGCAAGTGCATGATCGACCAGGCCCACGTATCCTGGGGGACCCCAAAACAGGGGGACCCCAAAAACGGGGCACCCCAAACACAGGGGAACCCCCAAATCCAGGGGAAACCCCAAATCCAGGGAGAACCCCCAGGGGAAACCCCAAATCCAGGGGGCTTCACCCTCTGCAAGTGCATGACCGAGGAAGGGTTTGGAGGGAATCTTCAGGGGCTTTGGGGAGGTTTGGGGGGTCCTGGGGAGGTTTTGGGGGGTCCTGAAAGGTTTTAGGGGAAGTTGGGGGGATTCTTCAGGGGATTTGGGGAGGTTTTGGGGGTCCTGGGGGGCTTTGGAGGGAATCTTGAGGGCTTTGGGGAGCTTTTGAGGGTCCTGGGGGGGTTTGGAGGGAATTTTGAGGGACTTTGGGGAAGTTCTGGGGGTCCTGGATTATTTTTAGGGGTTCCTGGAGGAACCTGGGGGGGGCCCATGTATCCTGGCACCCCAAATCTGGGGGAAGCCCCCAGGGAACCCCCCAAATCCAGGGGTAGCTCTCCAGTTCCAGAAGGAATCCCCCAGGGAACCCCAAATTCCATCAGGACCCCCCAAACCTCCCCAGGGACCCCCCTTTCCCTGCCCAACGCCTCCCAGTCCCACTCCAGAGACACCAAACCTGGTGGTTTTCCCCTCAAAATCCCCCCCAAACCCGGATTTGGGGGCCTGGGGGAGGGAGGTTTTTGGGGTTCAGCCCAGGGGGCACCTGCCCTCCCCCTTTTTTCCCCCAAATTTTCCCTTGACCTCCCCAAACCGCAGCAGGAGGAGCGGCCCATCCGGCAGATCCTGTACCTGGGGGAGCTGCTGGAGACCTGCCACTTCCAGTCCTTCTGGGTGAGCCCCCCAAAACTGGGGTCCCCAAAACCCGGGGGGGGTGGTCCTGGAGGCACAGGGGGAGCCCTAAACGTGGGGGTGACCCCCGGAATTCCGGCAGCAAGCGCTGGATGAGAACATGGAGCTGCTGGAGGGGATCACCGGCTTCGAGGACTCCGTCAGGAAATGTGAGGGGGGTCCTGGGGGGGCTTGGGGGGGAATCTTCAGGGGCTTTGGGGAGGTTTTGGGGGTCCTGGAGGGGTTTGGAGGGTATCTTGAGGAGGTTTTGGGGGTCCTGGGTTATCTTTAGGGGTTCCTGGAGGAACCTGGGGGTGCTTCAGGGGGGATTTGAGGGTCCCTGAGGGGGTTTTGGGGTACCGAGGGGTCCTGGGAAGGGAACTGGGACATCCTGGGGAGGGTTTGTGCGATTCTGGGGAGGTCCCAGGGGGTTGTTCAGGGGTCTGGGGGCGTTGTGGGGGTTCTGGGCAGTTTTGGGGGGGCTCGGTGACACCGTGAGGGTCCCCACAGTCATCTGCCACGTGGTGGGGATCACGTACCAGCACATCGACCGCTGGCTGCTCGCCGAGATGCTGGGGGACCTCTCAGGTGAGGGGCTGGGGTTCGTGGGGGGGATTTGGGGGGTCCCAGGTGGGTTCTGGAGGGAGCTTGGGAGGGTCCTGAGGGGGTCTGGGGAACTCTGGGTGGGATTTTGGGGGGTCCCAGGGGGAAATTGGGTTCTGGAGGGAGCTTGGGAGGGTCCTGAGGGGGTTTGGGGAGCCCTGGGTGGGATTTTGAGGGGTCCTGGGGAGGTGCAAGGGAGTCTGGAAGGGTTTGAGGGGCCATGGGGGGGTCTCTAGGGGGTGTCCGAGCCCCCCCAGACCCCGCTGTGCCCCCCAGAGTCGCAGCTGAGGGTGTGGATGAGCAAGTACGGGTGGACGGAGCCAGAGCCGGGGCGGATCCTGATCTCCAACCAGGAGGAGAACATCAAACCCAAGAACATCGTGGAGAAGATCGACTTCGACAGTGGGTTGGGGGTCCTGAGGGGGGGTTGGAGCATCCTGGTGGGAGTTTTGGGGGAGTTGAGGGCTCCTCAGGGCGTTTTGGGGGGTGTTGGGAGGATTCAGGGAGATCCCACAGAGATTTTGGGGTCCTGGAGGAAGTTTGGGGGATCTGGAGAGGGGTTGGGGCAATACAGGAGGCTCCTGAGGGTGTTTTGGATGGGTTTTGGGGGTCTGGGGAGGGATACGGGAGAGGCCCAGGGGTTTCTGAGGGGGATTGGAATTACAGGGATGTCCTGGCCGCCCCCCCAGCTCACCCGTTCTTCTCCCAGGTGTGTCCAGCATCATGGCGTCCTCTCTCTGAGCCCCCCAGGAGCGAGCCCTCAACACGGACCCCCCAATTCCAACCCCCCAACCCCGACCCTGCCCAGTTTAACCAGTAAAGAGGCTCCAACGCGGGACTGGGCTCGTTCTTGGGGGTCGTCAAAATGGAAGGGGGGGCTTCTGAGGGGAGGTGGGCGTGGCCTTGAACGGGCGTGGCCTTGAGTGGGCGTCGGTGGGCGCGGCCCGGGCGGCGGCGCGTGCGCAGTCGGGGCGCGGGGGGGGGCCGAGTCGGGTCGGTGTCGCTGGCGCGTCCTCCGCCTGTCGCGACATCAGGGCGGCGATAATGGTGGATTACCACAGCGCGGGGCAGCCCCACCCGTACGGCGGGAACGGGCCCGGCCCCAATGGCGACTACATGGCCCAGGAGGACGACTGGGATCGGGATCTGCTCCTGGACCCCGCCTGGGAGAAGCAGCAGCGCAAGGTGGGGGGGGCTGGGGGGGGTCACTGAGCGGGGATCGTGAGGGGCTGAGGGGTGCCTGAGGGGATTTCAGAGCCTGAGGGGTCTGGAGGGTTTCAGGGGTCTCTGAGGGGTCCCAGAGGCGTCAGAGCGCGGGGCAGGGGGATCCGGGGGGTCCCTGAGGGGATCCACGGGGGATCCTGGGGTCTCTGAGGGGATCCATGAGGGATCCTGGGGTGTCTGAGGGGATCCGTGAGGAATCTGGGGTGTCTGAGGGGATCCATGAGGGATTCTGGGGTGTTTGAGAGATTCCTGAGTTGGGGGTCCTGGGGGGCGGGGGGGTTTGGAGCATCCTGGTGGGAGTTTAGGGAAGTTTTGGGGGAGTTTAGGGCTCCTCAGGGCGTTTTGGGGGGTGTTGGGAGGATTCAGGGAGATCCCACAGAGATTTTGGGGTCCTGGAGGAAGTTTGGGGGATCTGGAGAGGGGTTGGGGCAATACAGGAGGCTCCTGAGGGTGTTTTGGATGGGTTTTGGGGGTCTGGGGAGGGATACGGGAGAGGCCCAGGGGTTTCTGAGGGGGATTGGAATTACATGGATGTCCTGGCCGCCCCCCCAGCTCACCCGTTCTTCTCCCAGGTGTGTCCAGCATCATGGCGTCCTCTCTCTGAGCCCCTCAGGAGCGAGCCCTCAACACGGACCCCCCAATTCCAACCCCCCAACCCCGACCCTGCCCAGTTTAACCAGTAAAGAGGCTCCAACGCGGGACTGGGCTCGTTCTTGGGGGTCGTCAAAATGGAAGGGGGGGCTTCTGAGGGGAGGTGGGCGTGGCCTTGAACGGGCGTGGCCTTGAGTGGGCGTGGCTTGGGGCGCGCCTGAGGGCGGGTTTTTAATGAGCTGTGGGCGTGGCCTCAGCTCCGTGAGGGCGGTGGGCGGGGCCCCCCTGTGGCGCCTGAGGGCGGGGGGCGTGGCTCCGCCCGGGCCGTGCGCGCGCGGCGCGGTGGGCGCGCCGCCTGTCGCGACATCAGGGCGGCGATAATGGTGGATTACCACAGCGCGGGGCAGCCCCACCCGTACGGCGGGAACGGGCCCGGCCCCAATGGCGACTACATGGCCCAGGAGGACGACTGGGATCGGGATCTGCTCCTGGACCCCGCCTGGGAGAAGCAGCAGCGCAAGGTGGGGGGGGCTGGGGGGGGTCACTGAGCGGGGATCGTGAGGGGCTGAGGGGTGCCTGAGGGGATTTCAGAGCCTGAGGGGTCTGGAGGGTTTGAGGGGTCTCTGAGGGGTCCCAGAGGCGTCAGAGCTCGGGGCAGGGGGATCCGGGGGGTCCCTGAGGGGATCCACGGGGGATCCTGGGGTGTCTGAGGGGATCCATGAGGAATCTGGGGTGTCTGAGGGGATCCATGAGGGATCCTGGCGTGTCTGAGGGGATCCCTGAGGGATCCTGGGGTGTCTGAGGGGATCCGTGAGGAATCTGGGGTGTCTGAGGGGATCCATGAGGGATTTTGCCATGTCTGAGGGGATCAGTGAGGGATTTTGCCATGTCTGAGGGAATCCGTGAGGGATCCTGCCGTGTCTGAGGGGATCCATGAGGGATCCTGTGGGTCTGAGGGGATCCCTGAGGGATCCTGGGGTGTCTGAGGGGATCCGTGAGGAATCTGGGGTGTCTGAGGGGATCCATGAGGGATTCTGGGGTGTTTGAGAGATTCCTGAGGGATCCTGCCGTGTCTGAGGGGATCCATGAGGGATCCTGTGGTGTGTGAGAGATCCATGAGGGATCCTGAGGTGTCTGAGGGGATCCGTGAGGGATCCTGCGGTGTCTGAGAGGTCCCTGAGGGGATTCGAGTCTGAGGGGTTCCCTTGAGGGGTCCCCGAGGGGGCCGGGGGTGTCCCTGAGGGGGTTCATGAGGGGTCCCAACCCGGGGCAGGGACATCTGAGGGGGTCAGGACCTTTGGGGGGCATCTCTGAGGGGTCCCTGAGGAGTCTGGGGGGCTCAGGGTGTCCCTGGTGTCCCCGAGCCGGGTCTGGGTGGGAATCAGGACTTTTGGGGGGTCCCTGAGCAGGGTCAGAGCATGAGAGACCCCCGTAATTGGGATGGGGGGGCACTTTGGGGACCCCCAGGGCTGTGTTTGGGGTGGGGTACCACCCCCCCCCCAATTCCGGGCGGAGAAGCTTCCGGAGAGCTGCGGGACGGGATAAAGGGCACTGGGGAAAGGGGGATCCGCCGGGATCCGCCGCCTTCCCGGGACATCGGGACCTGCGGGGGGTCCCCTCCATCGCCCCCTCCCCAAAAAAAAACCCGGGACCCTCGGGCGTGGGAACCGCCGGGAGCTGGGAGGGGCTGGCCCGGAATTCCGAGCGGGCGCCGGAGTGTTCCGGGTTAATCATTGGAGACACTCCCGGCGCTGGGGACAGTTCCTGTGTTTGGGGCGAATTCCTTCAGTTCGGGGTGAATTCCCGTAGTTCGGGGTGCATTCCTTCAGTTCGGGGTGCATTCCTTCAGTTCGGGGTGAATTCCCGTAGTTCGGGGTGCATTCCTTCAGTTCGGGGTGCATTCCTTCAGTTTGGGGTGAATTCCTTCAGTTTTGTGTGAATTCCCTCAGTTCAGGGCGAATTCCCGCACTTTGGGGTGAATTCTTTCAGTTTGGGGTGAATTCCTTCCGTTTGGGGTGAATTCCCGCAATTTGGGGTTCCCTTCCCTCAGTTTGGGGTGAATCCCCGCAGTTTGGGGTGCATTCCCGCAGTTTAGGGTTCCCTCCCCGCAGTTTGGGGTGAATTCCCTCAGTTTGGGGTGCATTCCCTCAGTTTGGGGTGAATTCCCTCAGTTTAGGGTTCCCCCCTGAGTTCTGCCGTGAGTTCCGTGAGTTTTGCGTTCAGTTCCTGTGCCTTGCTTGAACTCCCTGAGTTTTGCTGCGAGCTCCCTCACGCTCGAGTTCACGTACTAATTCTGGGTTGAGTTCCGCGTGTTTTGTGATTAATTCCCCGAAGTTTGGGGCGAATTCCCTCCCTGTCGGGGCGGCTTCCCTCAGTGTGGGGCTGAGCTCCGGGAATTTTGGGTGAATCCCCTCAGTTTTGGGACATTCCGGGGATCCCCTGTCCTGGGCACCCTCGGGGCCGGGGCTGCTGGGCTCCGTTGCCGTGGTTACCGCGATTTCCAGGTTTTTCTAAGAAAAATCCGGGCGAAGTTGGATTATTTTTGGCACAGGAAGCGCCGGATGAGCTTCCTCCTCCTCTTCCTCCTCCTCTTCCTCCTGCACTTCCTGCCGTTCCCGGCGCTTCCCACTCCTCTCCCACGTTTCCCTCCCGGTTCCTGTTGCTTCCCCTCTGCCCGGAATGGGAATTTTCCCCGTGGATTTTCCAGGATTTGGGGCGGATTTTCCCCGCCTGGATTCCCGGGAATGCCGGAGCACGGACGAGCTCTGCGCCCGGGGTTAATTAGCTGTTAATGAGCGGCGTGCAGGGATTGCCCCGGACCGCTCCTCCCGTTTTTGGGAATCTGCTAATCTGCTTTCCCCCCCAGGGCAGCTCCTGCTTTTCCACCGAATTCCTGCATTTGGGTGTCCGGCCCCGGGGTTCGCCTCTGGAATTCTCTGGAATTCCAACAATGCGGCCGGAGCAGCGGGAACGGAACCGGCCCCTGGCAGACTGGAGAACCTCCCCAAAACCCCTTTTATTTTGGGGATTTCGGGGGAGGCGCCGCACCCGCTGTTCCACCTGGAGAACCTCCCCAAAACCCCTTTTATTTTTGGGATTTCGGGGCAGGGCCGCACCCCGGGCTGCGAGGCGTGGCCGCTCATCCCGCGCGGAATGCGGGCACGCCCTGCCCCACCTGCGCACCTGCAGCGCCCCCAAAAACCCCCAAAAAAACCCCAAACCGCCAAAAAACAACAGCAAAAACACCAAAAAAACCCCAGCAAAACCACCAAAAACACCAAAAAAACCAACAGCAAAACCACCAAAAACAACAGAAAAAACACCAAAAAAACAACAGCAAAAACAGCAAAAACCACCAAAAAAACCAACAGCAAAACCACCAAAAACAACAGAAAAAAACACCAAAAAAAATCAGCAAAAACACCAAAAAAACAACAGCAAAACCACCAAAAAACAACAGAAAAAAAACCAAAAAAACCCAGCAAAAACACCAAAAAAAACCCACAACAAAACCCCAGCAAAAACACCAAAAAACCAACAGTAGAAACACCAAAAAAAAAAAAAACAGCAAAAAAAACCCAGCAAAAACACCAAAAAAACCCAGCAAAAACACAAAAAACCAACAGCAAAAACACCAAAAAACAACAGAAAAAACACCAAAAAACCCAGCAAAAACACCAAAAAAACACCAAAAAAACCCCAGCAAAAACATTCCAGGGGGAGGGCAAGAGCCGGGATGTGCCGGGGGTGGGACCCAGCACCACCCAAATCCCCACATTCCCTCTTTTCTGCTCGTCTTCCCCAAAGTTTTATCATTTTTCCTAATTTTTAGTGATCTTTTCCCTCAAATTTTGGTAATTTTTTCAAATTTTGCTCATTTCCTCCTGATTTTCAGTAATTTCCCACCATTATTTTGTTAATTCACACTATTTCTAATATTTTCCCTCCATTTTTTGGTTGCATTTCCTGAGTTTTTGGGTAACTTCCTGAATTTTTTGACTTTGCTCCAGATTTTTTGCCATTTTCCCACATTTCCTCATAATTTTCCCAATTTTTTGGTGGAACTTTTCCTGGTTTTGGGTCATTTTTCACAGTTTCTGGATCATTTGCCCCTGGTTTTGGGCCACTTTTCCTGGTGTTGCCATCACATTCCCAGTTTTCTGCTCATTTTCCCAGTTTTTCCTCCGTTTTCCTGAATTTTTGGTGTTTTCCCCATGCTCAAGTAACTTTCCCCACTTTTTTCCTCATTTTCCCTGATTTCTGGGTGGCTTTTCCTCATTTTTCCATCACTTCCCCTGGTTTTTCCCCATTTTCCCAGATTTCTGTCCCCTCGTGGTGGATTTGGGGTCATTTCCTCGGATTTTTCCTCCTTTTTCCCTCTCCTCGGCCAAGCGGCGCCTCGTTAATTATGTTAATTATGCAAATGACGTTAATGAACCCCCGCTAATGAGCCCAGGGGAACGCCTGGATGAGTTTTTTATTCCCTCTGGAATTTTCTTTCAGCTCCGTTTTAACGGGAATTTGGGGATGTGGGAGCCAACTCCTTCCTGCCCTAACGAGGCCTCGTTAACGACCTCGGTTTTGGGGATTTTTTGGGCATTTTGGGGGCTCCAACCCCAGGAAAAAACCCCAAAACCCCCCCGGGGGGGGCTCATTCCCACCTGGAATTCTCAGGATCAGCATTCCCGGGGCTCCCCCGGGGGGAAAACCCCAAAAAGGACCCAAAAATGAGGAATTCTGGGAGGCTCCCAAAGGAAAATCCCAATTTGGGGCTTTTTTTGGGATAAATCGCTGTCCCTGAGGTGCTCCTGGAAAAAATTCCCCAGGAAACAGCCCCGGGCAGCATTCCCAGTGCCCACAATTAGGGATTTTCCCTTAAAAAATTGGGAATATCCCTTTGGCTCGGTCACAAACACATCCCAGCTTCTTCCCAAGGGATTTTCCATCCCAAAGTTGGGGTTTTAGGGGAAAAAATGGAGGAAAAGAGGGAGAAAAATGCATTTTCCTCCTGAAATTCCCAATTTTTAGGGAAAAAATGGAGGAAAAGAGGGAGAGAAAATGCATTTTCCTCTCTTCCCAAGGGATTTTCCATCCCAAAGTTGGGGTTTTAGGGAAAAAATGGAGGAAAAGAGGGAAGAAAATGCATTTTCCCCTTGAAATTCCCAATTTTTAGGGAAAAAATGGAGGAAAAGAGGGAGAAAAATGCATTTTCCTCCTGAAATTCCCAATTTTTAGGGAAAAAATTGAGGGAAAGAGGGAAGAAAATGCGTTTTCCTCCTGAAATTCCCAATTTTTAGGGAAAAAGTGCAGGAGAAGGGGTGGGGGGAAATGCGTTTTCCTCCTGAAATTCCCAATTTTTAGGGAAAAAATGGAGGAGAAGTGCGAGGAAAATTATTTTCCTCCTGAATGTCCCAATTTTTAAGGGAAAAATGGAGGAGAAGTGCGAGGAAAGTGATTTTCCTCCTGAAATTCCCAATTTTTAGGAGGAGAAGAGGGGGGAAAACGCATTTTCCTCCTGAAATTCCCAGTTTTTAAGGGAAAAATGGAGGAGAAGAGGGGGAAAAACACATTTTCCTCCTGAAATTCCCAATTTTTAGGAGGAGAAGAGGGGGGAAAACGCATTTTCCTCCTGAAATTCCCAGTTTTTAAGGGAAAAATGGAGGAGAAGAGGGAGGAAAACACATTTTCCTCCTGAAATTCCCACTTTTTCCATGGAAAGGAGGAAGAGGAGGCAGCTTTTCCTCCCTGCCGCTGCTTCCCAGTGGTTTTCATGGACAAACAGAGGAAAAAGAAGGATGAAAATTGGGACAAACCCCTTCTCCAGCCCCAAAATCCCCAAATCTTCGGGGTCCTGCAGCTCTGGAATCCCGAATTCTGGGCAGGAGCTGCTGGATTTTCCTCCCTGCCGCCACTTCCCAAAGCTTTCCATGGAAAAATTGAGGTGAGAGCAGGGCTGGAGGCGCTCTCCCGGCCCCGAAATCCCGGGATTGGGGCGGGGGTGGGCTCGGATCCCGCAGGGGAGGGGTCCCGGCCCTGACACAATGCCTGGAAAACGCTTTTCCAGCGGTTCCGTGGGAAGGAAATTCCAGAGGCCCCTGCGGAATCTCCTTTTTTAGGCATTTTTGGGATGGTTATTTCTGTCCGGAACGCGCCGTGGGGGGGTCGCTTTTATCCCGGGTTTTATCCCGGATTTTATCCCGGGTTTTATCCCGGATTTTAGCCCGGATTTTATCCCGGATTTTACCCCGGATTCCACCGTCCCCGCCGCCCCTCCCCAGACCCCCCTGCTTCCCATCCAGCCCTCCCAAATTCCCAAATTTCGGGGTGAAATCCCCCGGCTCTGGGGCAGCAGCGAGGGTTCCCCCAGCGCAGAAATTCCCGGGATTTGGTGGAGATTTTCCGGGATTTTGGAAGGGAACGAGCGCTCGGGGCGGGATTTTGGGACTTTCCAGGAATACCAGTGACCCCACGGGGCCAGGGGACAGATCCCAGAACGGGATTTGTGGGATCTTTTTGGGATTTTTTTGGGACCTTCTTGGGATCTCTCAGGGCCTGTGGTGCTTGTCCGTGAAGGAGATCCCAGAATGGGATTTTTCTGGGATTTTTTTGGGATCTTTCTGGGATCTCTCAGGGCCTGTTGTTGGTTTTGTGAAGGAGATCCCAGAAATGGGATTTTCTGGGATTTTTGTGGGATTTTTCCATGATCTCTCTCTTGGGGCCAGGTGATTCAGGGCCTGTTGTGTGTATCCATGAAGGAGATCCCAGAGTGGGATTTATGGGATCTTTTTGGGATCTTTCTGGGATCTCTCAGGGCCTGTTGTGGGTGTTGGGTGGGATCTTTCTGGGATCTCTCAGGGCCTGTGGTGCTTGTCCGTGAAGGAGATCCCAGAATGGGATTTTTCTGGGATTTTTTGGGATCTTTCTGGGATCTCTCAGGGCCTGTGGTGCTTGCCCGTGAAGGAGGTCCCAGAATGGGATTTTTCTGGGATCTTTTTGGGATCTTTCTGGGATCTCTCAGGGCCTGTTGTGGGTGTTGGTGAAGGAGATCCCAGAACGGATTTTCTGGGATTTTTGTGGGATTTTTCTGGGATCTCTCTCAGGCCGGGTGACCCAGGGCCCGCTGTGCATGCCCATGAAGGAGGTCCCAGAACGGGATTTTCTGGGATTTTTCTGGGATGTTTTTGGGATCTCTCTCTCTTGGACCAGGTGACTCAGGGCCCGTGGTGCGTGTCGGTGAAGGAGATCCCAGAACGGGATTTTTGTGGGATTTTTGTGGGATCTTTGTGGGATCTTTGTGGGATCTCCCAGGGCCCGCGGTGCGTGCCCATGAAGGAGATCCCAGAACGGGATTTTTGTGGGATTTTTCCGGGCTCTCTCTCTCTCAGCCTGGGTGACTCAGAGCCCGTGTTGCGTGTTGGTGCCCGCGGGGCCGCGCCCGGCCACGCCTGGCACAGGCATGTGCACGCCTGGCACCGGCCAAAGTCCCGGCGCCGCTCCGGAGCCGCCCGGGAGCCCACGGCAATCCCGCAGTGACCCCAGCACTGGGATCTTCCTGGGAACCCCGGGGCGTTCCCGGAGCCGGGGCATCGGCCCCGCTTTCCCGCTGGGTGTGGGGCTGGGTCCCGCGCCTGTCCTGAGCACGTTCCTGACCCCAAAGGGGGGCCCTACAAGCAGATTTTGGGGTGGAGCCGTCCCAGCTCCACAAATAACTGGAGCTGGGGGTTGTGGGGTCGGGCGTTCCCGGGGGATGAAAGGCTCGGGGTCATTCCCAGTGGGGTCAGTAACCTGGGGTTGTTCCTGATAGGATCAATAACCCGGGGTCATTCCTGGTGGGATCAATAACCTGGGGTTGTTCCTGATAGGATCAATAACCCGGGGTCATTCCTGGTGGGATCAATAACCTGGGGTTGTTCCTGATAGGATCAATAACCCGGGGTCATTCCTGGTGGGATCAATAACCTGGGGTTGTTCCTGATAGGATCAATAACCCGGGGTCATTCCTGGTGGGATGGGGTCATTCCTGCTGGGATCAATAACCCAGGGTCATTCCCAGTGGGATTATTGGGATCATTCCCAGTGGGATCATTTGGATCATTCCCAGTGGGATCAATGGGATCATTGGGATCATTCCCAGTGGGATCATTCCCAGTGGGATCATTCCCAGTGGGATCAATGGGATCATTCCCAGTGGGATCATTCCCGGCGGGATGAGGAATCCCCAGGCCCCCAATTCCCCATTTCCCCCCCAAACCCCGGGGGTCCCGTGCTGCCCCCGGAGGTCCCCTGCTGACCCCGGGGGTCCCGCTGCCCCCGGGGGTCCCCCCAAACCTCGGGGGTCGCCCCAAACCCCGGGGGTCCCGCTGCCCCCGGGGGTCCCGTGCTGACCCCAGGGGTCCCTCCAAACCCCGGGGGTCCCGCTGACCCCGAGGGTCCCACTGACCCCGGGTGTCCCCCCAAACCCCGGGGGTCCCGTGCTGCCCCCGCGGGTCCCGCTGCCCCCGGGGGTCCCCCCAAACCCCGGGGGTCCCGTGCTGCCCCCGGGGGTCCCGTGCTGCCCCCGGGGGTCCCGCTGACCCCGGCCTCCCTGCAGACGTTCACGGCCTGGTGCAACTCCCACCTGCGCAAGGCCGGCACGCAGATCGAGAACATCGACGAGGATTTCCGGGACGGGCTCAAGCTGATGCTGCTGCTCGAGGTCATCTCAGGTCAGGCCTGGGCCCAGAAGCCTTGAACTGGGCACAAAATCCTTAAACTGGGCCCAAAAACCCCCAAACTCAGCCTCAAATCCCCCCCCCACTGGGCCCAAAATCCTCAAACTGGGTCCAAAATCCTTAAACTGGGCACAAAAACCTCCCCAGCTAGGTCCAAAATCCTCAAACTGGGTCTAAAATCCCCCAAACTGGGACCAAAATCCTCAAACTGGGCCCAAAATCCTTAAACTGAGCCAAAGAACCCCCCAGCTGGACCCAAAGTGCTGAAACTTCCCCAAACACCTTTAAACTTGACCTAAAACCCTTCAGTCCTGACCCAAACCCTTTAGCCCTGACCCAAACCCTTCAGTCCTGACCTAAACCCTTTAACCCTGACCCAAACCCCTCAGTCCTGACCCAAACCCCTCAGTCCTGACCCAGATCCTTTAACCCTGACCCAAACCCCTCAGTCCTGACCCAAACCCTTTAGCCCTGACCCAAACCCCTCAGTCCTGACCCAAACCCTTTAACCCTGACCCAAACCCTTTAACCCTGACCCAAACCCGTTAGTCCTGACCCAAACCCTTCAGTCCTGACCTAAACCCCTCAGTCCTGACCCCAACCCCTCAGTCCTGACCTAGATCCTTCAGTCCTGACCCAAACCTTTTAAGCCTGACCCAAACCCCTCAGTCCCAACCCAAACCCTTTAGTCCTGACCCAAACCCTTTAACCCTGACCCAAACCCTTTAAGCCTGACCCCGGTGCCGTTGCAGGCGAGCGGCTCCCGAAGCCCGAGCGGGGCAAGATGAGGGTGCACAAGATCAACAACGTCAACAAGGCCCTGGACTTCATCGCCAGCAAGGGCGTCAAGCTCGTCTCCATCGGCGCTGAGGGTGAGGCCCCGCCTGGGATTCACCCCTTTAGGCCAAATTTGGGATTTTCAGGGGTTTTAACCTTTACCCAAACCCTTGAATCCTGACCTGAACCCTTTAACCCTAACCTAAAATGCTTTAATCTTTACCCAAAACCCTTGAACCCTGACCCAAACCCTTTAACCTTGATCCAAACCCTTTAAACTTGACCCAAACCACCTAAAATGCTTTAACCTTTACCCAAAACCCTTTAGTCTTGACCCAAACCCTTTAGTCTTGACCCAAACCCTTTAACCTTGGCCCAAACCCTTTAACCTTGACCCAAACCCTTTAACCTTGACCCAAACCCTTCAACCTTGACCCAAAACCCTTTATCCTTGACCCAAACCCACGTGGTGCCACCGCCCCTCCACTGAGTCATGGGGTGCCTGAGAATTCCAGGAATTCTGGGAATTCCAAACTCCAAGGCAGCGGGTGCTGCTCATGGAGGCCACGGCTGTTCTGTGGTTTTTGATGGAATTGTCCCTGTGGGATCGGGATCGTTCCCTGTGGGATTGGGATCATTCCCTGTGGGATCCGGGATCATTCCCTGCGGGATTGGGATCATTCCCTGCGGGATCCGGCATCATTCCCTGCAGGATCTGGGGTCATTCCCTGCAGGATCAGGATCATTCCTTGGGGGATCCAGGGTCATTCCCTGCAGGATCACCGGGGTCATTCCCTGCAGGATCAGGACCATTCCCTGCAGGATCTCCAGGACTATTCCCTGCGGGATTGGGACTGTTCCTGTGGGATCTCTGGGACCATTCCCTGCAGGATCCAGGGTCATTCCCTGCGGGATCCAGGACCGTTCCCGCAGGATCAGGGTCATTCCCTCCAGGATCACCGAGGTCATTCCCTGCGGGATCCAGGGTCATTCCCTGCAGGATCAGCGGGGTCATTCCCTGCGGGATCCAGGACCGTTCCCACAGGATTGGGGTCATTCCCTGCGGGATCACCGGGGTCATTCCCTGCAGGATCACCAGGATCATTCCCTGCGGGATCCAGGACCGTTCCCACAGGATGCCCCCGGGATGCCCCGGGGCCGGGCGGGCCGGGCTGGCAGCGGCTCCGGCCGGGCCGGTTTGTTGGGATCCCAGCTGGGGAACGCTCCGCGTGCCCGGAGCCGAGCGAGTCCCGACCGGCCCCGAGCCGGGAGACGCCCGGCACCCGCCCCCGGCCCAGCAATTCCCAAAAAACAAGGGCTGGGGCTGCTGGAGGCAGCCTTGGGAATGTGGGATCGGGATGGGGAGCCCGGAGTTCCTGCCCACTTCCCTCCCCTCTGGGATTCCTCCCGCCGTGGTTTCCGAGCTCTTTTCCAACCCAAACAATTCCAGAATCCCAGCATTCCGTGGTTCTGTAAGGAGTGGGATCTGTGACTCCAGTTCTGCAACCCCACAAATCCTGCATCCCCTAATCCTGGCCCCCATCATTTTTGGGTCCCGTAATTCCAGAACTTTGTGTCCCAAGACTCCATAAATCCAGGATCCCGCCATCCCCAGATCCCATGATCCCGCTACTGCAGGATTCCTGAATGTGGGATCCGTTAATTTTGGGACTCCACAATTTTTTGACTGTGCTGGTGTGGAGCCCCCCCAGTTCCAGGTCCCAGAATTCCCCCTGGGAATTCCCAGCTGGAACCCCTTCCCGGGGCTCTCCCCGCAGAGATCGTGGACGGGAACGCCAAGATGACGCTGGGCATGATCTGGACGATCATCCTGCGCTTCGCCATCCAGGACATCTCCGTGGAGGGTAACGCCACGGCAGCGGCTCTGGGACCGGGGGATCCACGCGGGATCTGCTCTGCCACTGTGGGATCTGCTCTGGGACCGGGGGATCTGCTCTGGGACCGGGGGATCTGCTCTGGGACCGGGGGATCCACGCGGGATCTGCTCTGCCACTGTGGGATCTGCTCTGGGACTGTGGGATCCACACGGGGTCTGCTCCTGGGACTGTGGGATCTGCTCCTGGGACTGTGGGATCCACACGGGATCCGCCCCTGGGACTGTGGGATCTGCTCTGGGACTGTGGGATCCACACGGGGTCTGCTCCTGGGACTCTGGGATCTGCTCTGGGACTGTGGGATCCACACGTTCCCCTTCCCCTTCCCCTTCCCCTTCCTCTTCCATTCCCCAGGGCGGGCTGGGCTCAGGCAGGGTCAGATTTCCCAAATTCCCCGCGGATTCCCGGGATCTGATCCCATTTTCCCTGTGAATTCCCGGGATCCAATCCCGGTTTTCCCCATGGATTCCTGTGATCCAATCCCGGTTTTCCCCATGGATTCCCGGGCTCTCACTCCCATTTTCCCCGCGGATTCCCAGGATCTCACTCCCATTTCCCTATGGATTCCCGGGATCTGATCCCAATTTTTCCCACGGGTTCCCGGGATCTCATTCCCATTTTTCCTACGGATTCCCGTGATCCATTCCCGGTTTTCCCCTCGGATCCCCGTGATCCAATCCCGGTTTTCCCCGTGTGTTCCCGGGATCCAATCCTGGTTTTCCCAGCGTGTTCCCATGATCCAATCCCGGTTTTCCCTGTGTGTTCCCATGATCCAATCCTGGTTTTCCCCGCGTGTTCCCATGATCCAATCCCGGTTTTCCCGGCGGGTTCCCGGGATCTGACTCCCATTTTTCCTATGTATTCCCGTGATCCAATCCCGGTTTTCCCGGCGGGTTCCCGTGATCCAATCCCGGTTTTCCCCATGGATTCCTGTGATCCAATCCCGGTTTTCCCCATGGATTCCCGGGCTCTCACTCCCATTTTCCCCGCGGATTCCCAGGATCTCACTCCCATTTCCCTATGGATTCCCGGGATCTGATCCCAATTTTTCCCACGGGTTCCCGGGATCTCATTCCCATTTTTCCTACGGATTCCCGTGATCCATTCCCGGTTTTCCCCTCGGATCCCCGTGATCCAATCCCGGTTTTCCCCGTGTGTTCCCGGGATCCAATCCTGGTTTTCCCAGCGTGTTCCCATGATCCAATCCCGGTTTTCCCTGTGTGTTCCCATGATCCAATCCTGGTTTTCCCCGCGTGTTCCCATGATCCAATCCCGGTTTTCCCGGCGGGTTCCCGGGATCTGAGTCCCGTTTTCCCCCAGCTGGAAGGACGGGCTGGCCTTCAACGCCCTCATCCACCGGCACCGCCCGGAGCTGATCGAGTACGACAAGCTGCGGAAGGTAAACCCCGACCCTGCCCCGGGAAAACCGGGAATTTGGGAATTCCCGCCCACGGAGCCCCTCCTTCCCTCCCTCCCCGCAGGACGACCCCGTCACCAACCTCAACAACGCCTTCGAGGTGGCCGAGAAGTACCTGGACATTCCCAAGATGCTGGACGCCGAGGGTAAGCGCGGAATCCCGGGTCCGGCCGATCCCGGGATCTCTTCCGGGCCCTGCAGGGGGAATTCCTCGCGGGTTTAACCTGGGTTTCTCCTCCTCAGCGCCAGTTCCCACCTGTCCAGGTGGATTTATCCCGGATTTGGGATGCTCAGGGTTCCACAACTCCTTGATTCCACCGTCCTGTAATTCCAGGGGTGCAGAACTCGCAGGACTCCACAGCCGTGCAATCCCACAGTTCCAGCATCCCAAAAATCTGGTGTTCCTTTTTTCCAGGATCCCAGAATTCTCAGATTTTGTTATTGGAGGACTCCACAATTCCAGCATCCCACAAATCTGTCATTCCCTTTTTCTAGGATCCCGTAATTCTCGGTTTTAATTATTACAGGATTCCACAATTCCAGCATTCCATAAATCTGTCATTTCCTTTTTCTGGGATCTCATAATTCTCAGATTTTGTTATTCCAGGACTCTGCAATTCCAGCATTCCATAAATCTGTCATTCCCTTTTTCTAGGATCCCGTAATTCTCAGGTTTCATTATTCCAGGATTCCACAATTGCGGCATCCCACAAATCTGACATTCTCTTCTTCTAGGATCCCAGAATTCTCTTATTTTATTATTCCAGGACCCCACAACTCTTTGATCCCTCAGTTCCTGGACCCCTCAATTCCAGGACCCCACAACTCTTTGATCCCTCAATTCCAGCATCCCAAACTCTTTGACCCCTCAATTCCAGGATCCATCAACTCCAGGATTCCACAATTCCAGCATTCCAAACTCTTTGATCCCTCAATTCCAGGACCCCACAATCCCAGGATCCCTCAATTCCAGGATCCCTCAATTCCAGGACCCCACAATCCCAGGACCCCACAATCCCAGGATCCCTCAATTCCAGGACCCCTCAGTTCCAGCTCCCACTCTGGAGCCGCCCTGACCCCGATTTTCCCCACCCCGCCCCAATCCGTGCCCCTCCAGGTGGATCCCCAGGATTTGGGGCCCTGGGAGCGGAATTCCAGCCGGGAGAGGCGCCGGCCCCGTTCCCAGTTTGCCCCCAGCCGTTCCCAGTTTGCCCCCAGCCGTTCCCAGTTTGCCCCAGCCCGTTCCCAGTTTAACCCCGCGGTTCCCGCAGACATCGTGAACACGGCGCGGCCGGACGAGAAGGCCATCATGACCTACGTGTCCAGCTTCTACCACGCCTTCTCCGGGGCCCAGAAGGTACCGGGGGCTTCCTCCCGGATCCGCCCTTCCGGAATCTTCCTCCCGGATCCGCCCTTCTGGAATTTTCCCCCCTGGATCCCCCCCCTCACCTCTGGAATTCTCTCTCCGCTCTGGCGCTCGCTTCTCTTCCAGCCGCGGCCGCTGTCGCTCGGGGGGGCTCCGGGACCACCCCCAGCTGGCTCATGAGGGGTTAAATCCGCCTGGGAGTCCCGGGTGGGTGGGAATCCGTGGGGAATTCCTGGGAATCCATGGAAAATCCACGTGAAACTCGTGGGAATGCGTGGGAAATCCATGGGGGATCCGTGGGAATAATTGGAAATCCACGGGATTCCATAAAAATCCACAGAAGTCCGTGGGAAATCCACAGGATTCCATAAGAAATCCATAGGAAATCCATTGAGATCCATGGGAAATCCATGGGAATCCTTGGAAATCCATGGGAGTCCATAAAAATCTACAGAAGTCCGTGGGAAATCCACAGGATTCCATAAGAAATCCATAGGAAATCCATGGGGATCCATGGGAAATCCATGGGAGACCTTGGAAATCCACGGGATTCCATAAAAATCCGCAGAAGTCCATGATAAATCCATGGGAAATCCTTGGGGATCCATAGGAAATTAATAGGCGTCCTTGGAAATCCATGGGAATCCTTGGAAATCCATGGTAGTCCATAAAAATCCACAGAAGTCAGTGGGAAATTCCTGGGAAATTAGTGGAAATCCATGTGAAGTTAATGGAAATCCATGGGAATCCATGGGAAATTCATGGGAAGTTTGTGGGAATCCCATGGGAAATTAATGGAAATTCATGGGATTCCATGGAAATCCATGGGAAATAGTGGAAATCCATGGGAAATTCATGGGAATCCATGGGAAATTCATGGGAATCCATGGGAAATTTGTGTAAATTCATGGGAATACATGGTAAATTCGTGGGAATCCGTACCCTTTAAGTACCTTTAGGTACCCTACCCATGGTAAATTTGTGGGAATCCATAGGAAATTCATGGGAATCCATGGGAAATGAATGGAAATCCACAGGATTCCGTAGAAATCCATGGGAAATTCCTGGGAAATCA